GAAAGCAAAAGCCACATGTGTAAACCCATCACATACACAACACACTCATGCATTTCAGGGGTATAGTTTCCTCAAACAGTTTATACCTCTAAAAAATAGGCTACAGAAAAAGACTAAGAGTTTTGTTGAATGCAGCATAAGACACCTATACTGATGGCAGACCTTAAAAATACCCATAAGTGACCACTGTGGATTTAAAACAAAAACTAAAAGAATCTTAAGCCCCCAAAATATGGCTTTTCTCTAGGCTAGGCATGGATATTGAAAAATTAGATTACACAAACAATATGAAAAACTAGATTATCATCTTTGACAAGATAGCTCTTTACAGTATTAATTTAGAAGCTACAGAACACTAACTCTGAAATATGAATTAAACATGTTATAAGTACTTCAAGTTTAATATAAACTATCCTACACCATGGGGAAATTTCAGGTTTTACTTAATACAATATTAAATTTTCTTTTATTCGAGGAGCACAAATTCTGCTATGATATAAAGAATGATTTCCCTTTCTCCCCATAAAAGAGGGAAATAGTTAAAAAAAATCCATAATAAATTCAAAATAAAAATAAAATTAAAAAATAAAAATGTAATAAATCCAAGAGACACTTTAAGTGTTTACTATACATGTGCAAGAAAAGTAAAATGAAATCACGTTTTCCTCAGTGGGTAATAAATTCATGATGGGTGTATCTTCTAAAAAGCTCCGAGAAGGATCATCTCACTCAAAGTATAAACATAAAAAAGCTAAACTTAAAAAAAAAAAAAAAAAAAAAAAAGCATGGTATAGCGGAAAGAATTCTAGCCAAGTTTATCAGGAGACCCAATTTCTAGTGCCAGGTAATACCACTAACTAGCTAGCTGGCTGGCCAACCACCGGCAAGTAACCTATCCTCTCTAAATCTATTTCCTAAAGTGTAAATTGAAGGAGTTAGATGTTATAATGACTGCCAAGGTCCCTTCCTATCTCAAAATTCAATTATTTTATGTATTTCTACTTTTCACATGTTCCAGACTACACTTATCAACTACATAATGAGAATTTTACGTTTAGATGCTCACGTAAGCAAACATCTGTTAAGCCCTTTAGCTTAAGCACCAATGACCAACTCAAGTTTCTTTCTTCAAAAGCAGAACAAAGAAAATGGCCACTAATTCTAAATCTTTCTATATGAACTGTTTGTACCATTAGAACCTGGAAAAAAAGACCAAGTCTAATTCATTTTCAAATCAATTCCAAATACTAAGTTATGGCTTTATGATGACTGCTAAATGCTGTTGCAGTAAGCCCTGGATTTCCTTGTTGAATAGTCGTAATTCCAGTAACTTTTCAACCTTACAAACACCTTAAAAAGTTTTTCAGGTTCTTGGGAATTTGTGTGACAAAAGCTCCTTGGAATTGCAATTTCTTACAATTTCTGTCGAGACTCAATTTAAAAACGATCAGATTTAGCATAGATGAATTGTGTGATCTAAAGACCGACCATGCCCTTGAAACCTGATATAATAAACAGGAAAGTATTTCCATTCTACCTGAAGTCTCACTTATTGGCAACTTCTGTTTACATTGAGTGAATCTGGTCATAAAAGTTATCAAGTTTGATCTCAATTTTCCAACATAAATATAAATCTGCCCAATTCTCCTGGAAAAAAAAAATGTTTAAATACTGAAAATGAAGATGAACAAATAGGTCTGAGACATCCCCCGCTCATTCTCCCAACGTATACAACTTGGTCCTAGTCTAAGGGTTCAACTTTTACACTTTATATAAATAATGGGCTGTTTAATATAGGAAGGGCAAGAAAAAGCTAATGAACAACAAAATAGATAACTCTCTTTAAACCCTACACCTATTTGCAGGGGCTGCAAATAGCCAGTGGGCATTATCATTATATTGCATGTCTGCCAAGTTCTAGGCTTGGTATTTCAAATTATAACATTTACTTTTTTAAAAAAAAAAGGTACTGATGCATATTTTCCTACATGCATCCATACATATCCTCTTAAGTCTTATATTAAACTCTGTATCAGATTATATACTCAGCAAGAATCATAAATGTGTTCCTTTAAAAAGAAAAAAAAATAGCCAAATTATACCGATGAAAAGGTAGCAGCATTCACCTACTTACTATGAAGCAGCATTAAGACAGGTCTATGAAAAGGTCAGGTTACAAAACTGTTAACACCTGCCCACTTTATATTATAGGCTCATAGTATTATCAACAGGCACTAGATAAACTTGTTATATTCTTAATCTGAAAACACTAAGACAACAAATGTTATAGATTCTGCCCGAGATACAGAAAAATTTTTAAAAATACAATGGAAAGGCCAATAAGCAATGATTTATTTGATTTTTTTGTATTAGTTTATTGATTGGTTTATGCAACATCTCTGCATTTTCATTTTGCAATACCAGGAAGTTCATTCAATGATTTCTAAAAACTAATAGCAGAGCTTGGCTTAAAAAAAAAAAGTAAAGAACAATTTTAAACTTCTTTAAGGGTAGTACTCCTCCCTCCTCAGCCTCTAAAATCATATCCTGCCAAAATTTCTCAAATTCTCAATATATAAACCAGAGGTAAGTAGCAAAATAAGATACATGCCAATCTGGGAAACCTAGGAGAATCCCATACCACTATTAGAAATGTGTAGATAATTTCTTAGTTATGCCACTGACATGGAAAAAAAAACCTCGTTTTTTAAAAATCACAGGTAATTGTTCCCATTGATATGTCCCAAACCACATATATGTAGGACATATCAACCAATTACATATACTTTCTAGATAGGAGATATAAGATGCTACTGCCTTTTGGATATCTCACTATCTCAATTTTCCCCTGGAGTTTGACCTCATTGATATATGATTCAAATTGTAACCCATTCATGCCTTCCCACACCATGCAACACTTGTTCATTTTCATTCATTAGCTCACCACAGGGGTCTAACCGATGTGATATGGGCCTTCTTATTTAAGTGTTATATAATTACTGGACTTTAAAAAAAAGTATACATACTGTATATAAACGCACAGTAGATAGAGCACCTGGCCTGGAGTTAGAAGATCTGAGTTCAAATATGGCCTCAGACACTTAGTAGCTACTTAACCTCTACCTGCCTCAGTTTCCTCATCTGTAAAAATGGGAAAATAATACCACTAACCTTCTCAGGGTTGTTGTGAGGATCAAATGAGATATTAATTATAAAGTACTTAGCACAGTGCCTGGCATACATTTCAAGTGTTATATGTTACATTAGCTATTATCATGCACACATATATACACATATGAACATACATACAAATACATATATATACACTTACGTGTTTCTTTATAGTCAGGGACAAGCCCTTAGTCAGACAACTCCGTATATGCTGTTAAAATTATCTAGTCTAATGGTGCGGAATCTCCTTTTGACATTCCAGAGAAGACATTCTTAATTTGGAGTCCATGTGAACACTTTTTAAAAACACTTTGATAACTGCATTTCACTATAATTGGCTCCCTTTGTATCCAGTACATTTTACTGCATTTAAGAACATTATTCTCAGAGGAGATCTGCAGATTTCACAGACCTGCCCAAAGGTTCTTTGACACAAAAAAAGCTTAAGAACTCCTGTTCTAGAGAAAAAGTAGGAATAAGGAAAATGCTAACAATTTATGGAAACATTCAGGGACGATAAAATGTACAAATCCTGACAGTAAATACTAAAAGTTCCACTTCCCTTCATCATTTGACACCATGCATATTGTTCCCTAACTGTGATGTTTCTTTGCATATTCTAGAGAGGGTATCTGACAGTTTAAAAAACTCTTAACAGAGGGCTCACCAAAATCAGTCTCCCTGGCAACGATTCAACAAAAAAAAATTTTTCACAAAGATTTTCAAGAGTAACTATTGTTAACCTCCAGTCTTATGTGGGGAGGGGGAAAAAAGGAATTAGGATTTTCATTTTTCTAAGTATTTAGGTATTCTCTTTTCTAAAGCTTCGAAGATCTTTGATATGAAAATAGCAAAAAAAGTTATGCAAAGCATCTTATTTTATTCTATACAATAATTATCACATACAAGATGCTCACAACTCTTCAATCTTCTTAAGCCTCAAAAGTGAGGGTGGGGTGGGGATGGGGTTGAACGGGAAAGGGGCCAAAAGAGAGATCACAATAGCAGGCGATGCTAGCTCCTGCTCTCAGTCTGTTTTTACCGTTCTAGTCTCTAAGGCCTACTTCTCATCAAATAGTGGAAACCAGAAAGGAGGAGATAGGGAGGAGCTGTGGAGAATGCAAAATGGACCAAGGTTAAATGAAACCCATATGCACATAGCATCTTCACCTAAACTGCCTTGCTTTCTTAGGATTTAACTCAGATACTGATGTTGACGTAATTTTATTTAAATTGAAGTTCATGCCCTAAAGGCAAACACTCAAGGGAAATTTTGGTGCATGGGTGAACCAAGTGGCTAAGACACATTCATAAGGGTGTAATCAATCACTCAGTAAGAGGTAACATTTGCTCACTATGAATTCTGATTTCTCACCTGAAGGTTTCCCTTAAAAGGAGTCTGCACAACCTCTTCAAGTCAACCTGAACCTCACGCACAGCTATAAGTTTATCATTGATATGGGTCTGAGAAAAATATACACTGAAACACATTCAACAGCTACAGCAAGCAATTGCCTGTACTTCCCCACTACTGACAAAGCTTTTAAACAAAATAATCTTGTCTTCTGGCCTAACACAAAAAACTGAAGACCTCAGAAAAGAAACAAAACTGTCACTAAAAAAAAACAAAAAACAAAAAACACCCACAATAACAACAAAAAGAAAAAAGAAAAACCCAAAAAACTAAAACAAACATTACAAAGCTCTGTGTGTCTGTGTGTGTGTGTCTATATGTGTGCGCGCGCACATTGGAAAGGAGAAAGAGAAGTAAAGTCTGGGCAAGTGTTGGAAAAATGGAATATTTTTATGTTAGGAGTTTTAGTACTTACTGTGCCCGGTTCTCTGTCTGATCCCGTGGTTACCAAGAAACGCACAGACATGCCCGTTCAGACACAGAGGCAAGAACAGAAATAAAAAAAAGGGGGGAAAAATTAGAACACAAGCCCCGAACAGTTTTAAAAATGGCTTTTATTTATATAAGTCATTGCACATTCCTAATACAGTGATTTCCTGAAAATTACAGTATTTTGTAAACATAAGATTTACAGTTTAACCATACACAAAGCCTATTTTTTTAATTTCATGACAGAATAAATTACTTTTCTTCAAAAATTAGTCAAGTGCAATTTTGCCCAATATTTAATGCATACTAGAATTAAAGCCTATGAAACTAAGTAGTAACAGATGCAATTATCTAACCTTTCATTTGAACACATTCACTTTAAAATTTAACTTTCATTTCACCCCATTTCACAACATTACTTTCTTTGAAAATCACCCAATTAAGCAGTTAACAGTTTTCCATAATATGGTGCAGGCCACTGACATTACATTAAGCAGTTGCCAACATGTCAAAAAAAAAAAAAAAAAAAAAAAAGCCCCACAATCTATAGAGTGGGAGAAAGCCTACAAATCCCCATCATTTCAAACACTGAAAACTTCAGTTTTTCAGTGGTAAAAAGGTTTGACAGTTTCTTTTCTCTCATTTTATATAAACTTGGGATTTCTTTAGGAGATGGACACAACTTTGCAGCATTGTATGAATATTCATTTGACAAAGAATCAGGTCCTAATCAGGCTTGCCATGCCTCTCACCTCTGTGGTGCTCTGTATCATGGTGTTTCTTGTCATCTTTTATTGCCAAGTGAGACTGCCCACTCAATGCACTAGAGAGGGCCAGGAGGCCAGCGCTGCTTCCAAGGGGTGGAATCCCAGGAGGCTGGAGTCCGGATGGGTGAGGTGTTAGAGGCACTGGAGGTCCATGGCCATGAGAGAGATGCTGAGCCTGCAGTTGCTGCTGCTGTGGGCAGGTGGTGGTTGGTCATTCCCAGAAGAAAACAGAACCGTGAAATAAGAGCATGAGGAAAAAGGAGTAAGAGGATAAAATATATACAGAGAAAGACGATACAGAGGGAAGAAGAGGGAGAAAAAAGTAAACATATGGTTAACTCTTTAGATTCAAGGATCATGCTTCACATATTATTTTTTCCCATCCATACCACTGTTCCTGAACTATAATTCCTAGATCCCCAGACGCTAGGTGGCACAGTGGGTAGAAGCACTGGGCCTAGAGTCCAAAAGAACCGAGTTCAAATTTGACTTAAGACAATTACTAGCTATGTGACCCTGGGCGAGTCACTTAACCACTGTTTGCCTCAGTTTCCTCATCTGTACAATGGGGATAATAATAACACTTACTTCCCAGGGCTGTTCTGAGAATAGCATGAGACACTTAGCACACTGTCTGGCACATTGCAAGCACTATGGAAATGTTAGCTGTTGTCACGATGATTCACCCTAAAAGTTTGTTACTTTTACTTATCATAGGCCTGATTAGGTTATTTAAATGGGGAGAATCAGTGGCAAAGTTTCCAGGACCTCCATTTATGAATCTGTTTAATGTCTAATCTCCTTTCAACCACATACTCTTGGTATTAATCTAACACCAAGTGGCAAAGACAGCCAAACTGATTTTTCTCACTTGTTAAAAAGGAATAAAGAAACCAAGAGGTAGAACAGTTGCTTTCTTATTTGAAGGGCTGTCATGTGGAAGAGGGGGATTAAGCTTATTCTGCTAAGCTCCAGAGGTCAGAAAGGACCAACTATTCAAAGTAGCAAGGAGACAGATATGGGCTCAAAATAAATCAGAATAACTGGAAAATGAGAACCCCCCAACAACTGAACAGCCTCTCCCTTGTGAACTCAAGTAATGTTTACTTGAAGGAAACAGGCAGGGAGAAAATCTGGGTGATTCTTTTCAGAAATTTTGTAGAGAAGAAGGCTTCCAGGCAGGGGTGAGACAAAATGACTTCTCGCCAGTCTAGGTAATTTACCCTAGAATCAACGGCTGAAAGATGGAAGGGGTACGGTGACTATCTGGTCCACCTTCCTCATTTACAGATGAGTACACTGAGGCTCAATGGCAAGCCCAAAGACACACAGCTAGTGAGCAGCAGGGCCTGGACAAGAAGGCTCTTCTCTCCACTCTCCACCCAGACTCCCCTCCCCACCCTTCCCTCTACCCACGTCGCTTCCCTCTCTAACACAACACTGCACCACCACCAACCACCCCCTCCTCCCTACCCTGCTATAAATTTGCCCACATTTAAAAAGGTATTCTTTTCTCTCAAATTACAGTTAATAGCTTACTGTGTGCAATGAAAAATACTCAAGAAAAGGCAATGCAACATAAATTTAGCCATATTTCAGCTGCCAGGTATAAAACTAGGTTTAGAAGAAAGAGTAAAAATGATTAAAGCTTAATTTCTAAGGTGCCCTGTCAGATCCCAAAATTAAGGCTCTGATTTGTGGTAACTTCCCTCGGCCTCAACTGCTTATTTTATTGATGGCCAGCCTAGACTGTTCCTACTGCATTAAATCATGCCCGTTCTTCAGTAAGGGCCTCAAGCACTACCTTCTCACTGATTTCTAAATAGAACAATAAATACCGTCTTCAAATCTCTCTACCTTCAGAGTATAAGGTAAAATCGCATGATTTATCATCAGAAATCAAGAAAGTATTTGTATAGAATTATAAAAACCTTGGCAAACCTCCCCCTCCCACCCCTTATCATCTGAAAAACAAACAACCTACAGTGGGGAAAAGGGGACTGACCACCTTCCACATAAATCTCCCTCACCCCTGAAGTAAAACCACCCCAATAAGAAGAAAAATGGGGACAAAGACAGACCAGGGACGACAAGAAGAGTATTCTTGAAAAGCGTATATAAACGAGGCATTTACCATTTTAAGATCACAGTAACAATTATTTTATGCATATAATCACCTTCCTGTCGTTTCAAAGACACTAATTCCTGCTCTGTCACCTGTTAAGGGGCTTAGCAACAGCAAGACATAAAACTGGAGAAGTTGGCAGCAGCCTCACGGTCTGCTAGGCATGCTCATTAGCACTTAATTAAAAACTAGACACCTGCCATAAGAAATGTGCTCAGAGAAGGATGAGTAAAAGGTCTGTCCTAGCACCAATTACTATCATTACTTGGAGAATAAGAGCTATGTCCGGTTTGGGGGGGGGGGGCGGGTTGGGAGAGGAGGGGAGGGTGTACGGGTGGGGAGGGGAAGGAGAACCCAATGATGCATACACAAGCAACTGCAGTGGATAATTAACCATAGCGCTGATGGGGGGGGGGGCAAAGTGGAAGTTCAACTACAGTAGATACTGCTTTCCTCACCAAAAAGCCTTTCAAAAAAGTATTAGGGGTTTTTAGCTCTATGCCAGAACCAGCAGGTATTTCACTCATTTGTTTTTGATTCATTATTATTAGGAATTGAGATGTAGACTTTCTCACCCCACTAAGTTTTATAAATATTAAATCCAAGGCACACAATGTAAATGCTAATATGTAAATTGATTCAAAATAACTATGAAGCTATGATTAGAGGGGGGTGGTTGAACCCATTACATCAATCAAACAAGATTTTATTAAGTGCCTACTATGTGCCGGGCACTATGCTAGGCAGTGGAGATAACAAAAGACTATTAAGTAGAAATGGCAAATAAACTGGCTAATTGAATGTCAATCACTCTTAATGCCTATCCTCTTCTACCTTCCCCCAATTGTGATCCTGAATCTGAGCTTCAATATTTAGCATGGTTAGCTCTTTTTGAGCAAAAAGCTCATAAATGTAGTGCTGTTCATAGAAGCAACAGAGTGGCTCACAATCACTTAACATTCATTTAAATGAAACATTTAATGGGACAATTAAGTACAAGGTCCAGGGGGTGGGGAATTAAAAAAAAAATCCAGATGTCCTCAAAGACTGCATTTAAGTAGAGAGAGAGATTACAAAACTACAATGTAGAGATGGATGTTTTAAGTACTACAGAACAGATATGTGTCATAGGAGAATGGAGTAAAGTAAGGAGAGATTATTTTCTCCTGGGGAGATCAAAGAGTAGCTTTATGGGGAAGTAACATTTCAATGACTCTACAAGTGGAAGATGGACAACTAGGCAGCACAGTGCCTAGCGCACTAGGGCTGGAGTTAGAAAGACTCATCTTCCTGAGTTCAAATTTGGCCTCAGACACTTACTAGCTCTGTGACCTGGGCAACTCACTTAACCCTGTTTGCCTCAGTTTCCTCATCTGTAAAATAAGCTGGAGAAAAAACAGCAAACCACTCTAATATCATTGCCAAGAAAATCCCAAATGGGTCATGCAGAGTCAAACACAACTGAAAATGACTGAACAGCAACGACGACAACAAAATGAGTGGAAGACAGAAAATATTGTTAGGCTGTCATTGGGGTAAAAATAGAGAATGTAGAAGGTGGCATCCCAGGCACCATTAAGGAAGCAGGAGTATGGAACAAAGAGGAATGGGAAAGTGAAGGATGTGTACTAGAAATAGCAATTAACCCAAATTTTTATGTATGGAGTTCCATACAAGTTTACAGACAGATAAGTTGGCAGGTAACTTAATTAGGCAGCTAATTCAGGGCACTTAAGATGAAATCTGAGGAAGAATCAGCTGAAGTCAAGTTTTATACAACAAGGTACTTTCTCCAAAGACAGTCAAGTCACCCTATTTATCAGTCAATAAACATTTATTGTATTTAGGCTACATTACAATATCCAACATGCTGAAGACATGATAGAAATGGCACTGAAGACAACAAAGATGGGACGCAATTGTACCAGACCATACACAGAGGTAACCCATGCTATGGATAGGATATCATTTTGAGAGTGAAAGGGACCAATTCTTAAGACGTGTGAAAAAAGGATAGAAAAGATACTGAGTAATTGTTGTTGTTTTTGTTTTTAAATCACAGATCAGGAGACTCAAGCAAGGTTTTATAGAAGAGGTGTTATTTTACAATGGAGGTAGTCAAGACTTCCAGGAGAGAGATCTAAGAAGTCAGGGAATTCCAGGCAAAGAGGGATGGGCCAGATGTGGTAGATGAAGTGTCACACTCAGGGGACAGCGGTGGTTTGGTTTAGTTGGAATACAAAGGAGAACGGTATGCATAACTTGAAGGATAGTGATAATGGAACTCTACTAAGTTCCTTGAATAAACGTAATGAAACTACCTTTTATAATACTTGCTCACATGTACATATTGTTTTAAGTTTTGTAAAGTACAACTGTAAAGTAGAATGACTTCATGAATGTTATTATCTCAATTTTACAGATGAGAAAACTGAGAGTAAGAAGTTAAGTAATTTGCCCAACGGCACAGATGGCAAGTGTTTAAAACTTTCCACTCCATCATGTTACTGACCTATGTAAGAGGGAGGCAGGAAGGGGGAATAAAGACTGAATTGTTTATTCTTTTCTTCTGAACTTTCCTAAGGAGATGCTACAGAAATAAAGCAAAGTCTTGAAAGCAAAAAACAGATTTTAATGACTGATGGTCCAAAGAAGAGTTTAAAAAAAAGTTAATAGAAAAACCTACATCTTCTTTGAAAAATATCTTCTCTCTAGAGCTAATGACAGTTTCTTCCTTTACAAAAACGCAAAAGGTATGCATACTATTTAAACTAAATGAGGGGCAGAGAACCAAGAGGGGCTATTTTAAAATATGATAAAATAAAGTACGTATCTAAAACCAAAAGTCAACATTATTTTCAATGAAGAAATCATCTTTTGCAAGAAATACGGAGTAAAGAAAGGATGCCTCTTTTCTTCAGTGTTATTTGAAGTGTTATTCTTATATATTCAGTGTTCTAGAAATGTTAGCAATAGTAATAAAATTTAAAAAAAGAAAGCAAAGATATAAATATAGTTGAAGAGACAAAATTGTCCCCAAATGATATGGTTTCCTTAGAAAACCT